TGCAGCTGCCCAGTAACATCAAAGCACCGGCCGTGGGAACTACACGGCACCAGGAAAAAAATGCTGAACAAATTGAACTGCGGCACCATTTATAGGAGACCATCATTTAATATGTACAACAGTTCTTCTGGCTTTCATTATTTATATTCAGACATGAAATTAGCTGAATTTCTTTTCTATGTAACCTACAGCTGCTTGGATAGAAGCAGGAGTTCAAACAGGCCCGTGAATTCTCCTCTTCCTATGAATTTGAGTTTTAATTTTTAACAGACTTGAATGTCTGATTTCATTGGAATATATCGATAGAAATGATGGTGATTTTTGTGCCTCACAATGGAAAATATTTGACTATATATTGGTCTTTTTGCCCATGAATTACATAGCCATGCTCTAAATATTCTGTTCTGGACCACTGCTGAGGTATTGGTTATGCTGTATCAGCATGTGACAAAAGGAGAAAGAATGCCTGGACAGGCATTTCTAAGAATATTTTCCTGTAAAAAACAGTTTTGGAAAAAACCCCTCACAACCACAAAAAAAAACATCCCCAACAAACCTGCATTGAATATAAGCTCTACAGAAACACTTCTCTTTGTTTTCTGACTTCTGCCATCATGTGCATCTTCACACATCTAAAAAAGGCATTTTTCAGGAGATAAGAGGTGAAGCGATGCTTTTATTCCACCTTATTCAAAAATATGATAAATTTGATACTGAAAAATCTGCTGCTGCTCCTGGATTTGAGGAATTAAGGGTGGGTGTTGCTGGGATATCACGACACCAGTGACAGGCTCCCCTGTACTGAGAGCTGGCCAAAAGCCCACCCATAAAACCTACTTAACCCCTGTTCTTACAGCTGAAATAAGGAATAAATCTTGCACATGTGGGCTTCTCCATATTAATTCCTCTTACTTTTCAAGCTGTGAGAGGTAATAGGGCAAATATCCAAATTCTGGATACCTGGAGCACTGTGAAACTCCAGTTTTTCACGTAGTGAGGTGCAGACAAGCACTGCAATTGCAGAGTGACCCACAAACCACTCTGAGGAAGCAACACAGGGACTTCTAACCTTCAGGATCACCTTCCACATTCCACCAAAAAAAAATCCAGTAATCTTTGTGCAGCCCATTTAACCTATTACAAAACAGAGGTTTACACAGCTGGGGGGTTCACTATAAAGCCAATTTAGCAGAGAGAAAGAACAGTGTTTCCTTATTCATTCAAATCAGGGTAAAACAAACACTAGAGTCTGTGTTTGAGCTGCAACAGCACTTCCCCTCTGACAAAACTTGTAGAAACAGGAGCATTATTACAGAGCTACAGGACAAATTCATTTATTGAAGACACTGTTTACATGGTGCTTACTAAGAGAAAAAGAAGGGCTGTCTTGCTGGCTGGTTTATTTGTTGTGAGCACAGAGCTTCCTTTTTAAACAGCAAGAACAAGCAGAAGGCAGAAAGCAAAACATCCAAAGAAAAGCTGAGATGGAGATCAGGGAGGGCAGGAGAGCAAGGCAGACCCCAGTCACACCCACAGCAGAGCACAAACACTTCCAAAAAGCTACAAAAGGTTCTTTTTTTTGTCTTCTGTCTGCTGGGTTTGGCTGGGATAGAGTTAATCTGCCCTAAGTAGCTGGTGCAGTGCTGTGGTTTAGATTCAGGAAGAGAATAATGTTGAAAACACACCAATGCTTTGCTTGTTGCCAAGTGGTGTTTATCCAAAGTCAAGGACTTGTTTTGTGTCTCAGGCTCTGTCAGTGAGGAGGGGCACAAAAAAAAAGATGAGAGGGAGAACAGCCAGGACAGGTGACCCAAACTGGCCACAGGGATATTCCAGTCATATATAAATATTATATATTTATATATATGAATATATAAACCGGGAGAATCACCTGGAAGGGGCAGATCGAGGTTGGGGGATGAGGTCTGGCATCGTTCAGTGGGTGATGAGCAATTTTACTGCACATCACTTGTACTTTTCATTATCATTATTATAATTTACTCTTATCATTCTATTTTACCTTGTTTCATTTATTCAACCACTCTTATCTCAACCTACAAGTGTTATTTTTGATTCTCCTCCCCACTGCACTGGGGTGGGGGTGAGGTGAGTGAGTGGCCTCGTGGTGCTTAGCTGTGGTTTAAGCTCAGCTTAAAACCCAGCACCTCTGTAAAACGTGAGGGGATCTTCAGGGGTTAAATTCCCCTCTAAATTATGCATATGCACACACAGACATTAATGTGTCTGTGTGACTGCAGCTCATTAACATGCAAATATGACTTCAGCACTGAGACTCCCTGCTCCAGGAAGTTAATGAGGCAAAGGATGGCACAAAAGTCAGGAAAACACAGAAAATTTCCTTTCATACTTGTCCAGCACATTCCAGGCCCACAGACTATGCCACATCTTCATCAATGTGGTTGCTTTGGCTCATCCTGTGCAGTGGCTTTTGTTTCCATCCCTGTTCCCAGGCTGTACACAAATGCTTTTTGGGATATGTGGGGCTGCCCAAGGGAGAGCATTTCTTAACAAGGTCACGACGTGAAGAGCTTTGTGTTACTTTTCACAGCCTGTTCCACCTCTCATCCTATCTCCAAAACTCAGAAATTATCAGCACCACAGCTGCTATTTAAGGAAGCTGAGAGCCTGAACTAACCAGGGCAATTTGGCACCAAAGCATCAATTTGCAGCTCCTGCTTCCCAGAGCTGACACCTGAAAGCTTCTGAAAATGTAATCAGAACCCCATAATTGATAGACATCAAATATTAAGTCCAAAGAAAGCAACAGTAATTTTTAGCAGTACAACCTCAAAACAATAAGGAAAAACACTCTGACAAACGTGGTCCCAGCTTGGGTGATGGATTCAAAGGGGGTGGTGGCTCAGACAGACCTTTAGTTTTATGCAATTTCTAGTGAACAGATGTTCATTCAGGGAGCACACACACCAAAAAAAAGAGCCCAGGTAGTGATGGGACTGGTGGCAGCTGGAGCCCACCAATTGTCCCTGAAGGGGCACAGGGATGATGGGACCATTCACTTCCACAGGGCTTTGTCAGGGCAACACCCCAAAAAACTCATCCTCCCCCAGCTGTGCTGCTCTTTGCAGCACAGACAAAGACAAGGGTGATACCTGTGTGTCTGACACTGCTTAGAACCAAATAAAGGTATTCAATTTTCAGATCAAACCTTCTTTTCATAGGTAACTCAAGAGTTAAGTTTCCCAGTCTTTTAAGGGTCCACAAAGCATTATAAAGATTTGTTAGACAACTTTCTGCACACTATTTTGACCTTTTTTCCCTTTGCATAATTCAGTTATTAATATTCTTTTTCACAAAGGTGCATCAAGAGGTCAACATGGAAGTATAAGATTCCTCCTTAACTTCAGACTGTTCAGCAGCCAGATGTGTGTGTTCATAACAGCACACACAAAACACAGTTTGGGAAGCAAAGCAAGAGCATCCCCTACTAACAGCGCTGTGCCCAAAAGGAAAAGCAAAAGGAAACAACTTCCTCACTCATCACCAAAGAGAAAACTGGCACAAAACTGGGCACTTCTTTCCCCACAAATCTCTAAATCTCCCTCAGCAGGACAGAGAATCTGAAGCCTGAAGACACTCAGTGCACTGCAAAGAGGAGAAAAAATGCTGTTGCTGAATGGTGTGGGAAAAGCCAGCGCCGATGAGATGCATTTTTATAAATAACAGATGGAAAAGATAAGGACAACCCTCCCCAACACATCCTCCTGAAACTTTATTTTGCTGACCCTGGCCATTTTGCAATAAATGTTTTAAGTCTGGAAATTATAATAAAAAGTCTTTTTCATGCTTTTGTTTTTCCACTATTTTGTTTATTTGCTTGAAATAAAGGCTCACAGTCGATGCATTCCCACAGCCCGACTTCCCTAAGGTTGCAATTCCTGAAACACGTGTGGGCTCTGCATTGCAGAATCTCTCTGCATCCAATTTTCTGCCAGCTCAGAAACTGTCAAAGCACATTTAGAAAGACTTGGAACCAAATTTCTAAAATAGGTACCCCTAAGTACCGGAATAAAAGTGGCTTTATGTTCAGTGGAGCTCAGCAGAAGAAAGTAAACACCATTCTAAGTAGTTTGCTATTACCTAAAATGCTGAAAAAGTACCCTGACAGTGAGCACATATATAAAAGGGAAGAAAGCAGAAGCCACTAAACAAAGCAGTAAAACATTCTGAGCAAGCAGCAGATAAATTAGAGCAATCCAGGTGATATAAACAGTAATTAAAACTTTAAACCTTCTCTCAGAACAAAATACACGTTAAAGAATAATAATGCCAGTTTAAGGAGGAAATAATCAAGGATAAGGGAACAGCAAGGAGAGAAAGACTCAAAATAGCCTTTGACAGCCTAGTATGGTCCAGAGAGTTCCCTACAACCAACTCTTTGCCCATGTCAAGGTCAACAGGGCTTTGGAACAAGTTTTGCCAACCCTCTGCAAATCCAAAATGTTCTTCAAGAACTGCTCCAGCTCCAGGAAAAAGGCACATTCCTTAGAAACTTCCCTTCCCCGGGAATGCTCAGAACATTGCAACTTTGGGGGCTGCAAAGGTTAGACAAGGGCAGCTGCAGGGGATGGTTACACTGCTGAAATATGTCATTCTAATTATTTGTTAAATGGAGCGAGGGCTGAGCTGCAGCACAACACCCTTTTAATGGGATTTAAAGCCACACTCCACAAAGGTTTAATTGAGCAGTGAAAACACTTAACACAGAACACAGGAAAACAACTTCCATCAACAGCAACTTTCAAGCAGAAAGGGGCAGAGCAGTCCTTTGAAACGTGGTACTTGGGATGAGAGACATTAACACCCAGGAGAAGAAGCATCAGCTCGATCCACTGAGCATATCCCACAACACCGGCTGGGAAACAGGGCCTTGTTTTGCCCCTTTACCCCTGGCATACACATCCCACCAGTGTGGAATGCACTGGTGCTCTTAAATCCGAAGTTTAAAGGCACCCCCTCACCTGCAAGGCACACCATGAGCGACTGCAGCACCAGCAGCTCCCACAGCAACCTCATCTTCAGCTGCCCAGCTCAGAGGAGACCAGTCCACTAATTCCAGCAGAGAATGGGGCTCCTGGGAAATTTTAGGTCACCTTTAGTCTGCAAGAGAAAAGAGAGATTCCCAGGAGAGTTAGGATTGCTGCTCCTTCTGGTTTTTTTTCCAGCTTGGTTTTCCTTTCCAGGAAAGGTGCAAGTGAAATGCAACAAAGAAACATTCTCCAATATTTAATTTAAAATCAATCTGAGGAGTGATTTGTGACCATCCAAGTGGTCTGGGTACCAGAGGAGGGTTAAGAATTGTAACCCATGTCTGCATCTTCTGCTTGGGTGCTGTGAGATTTCTTGTGCCTCTCAATTTTGCAATCAGCAGATTTACTCCCTGCCTCTCTGGGGCAATCTCGTGTAATTAGTGAGCTCTGTAGATCAAGTTAAGAGAAAAATTAGAGTAATTCTCTAACTTTATGAGAATTACTCTAATTTTTCTCTACAAACATCATCCAGTGTGGGAAAGGCATCATCTCTGCAAGACAGCATTTCGTAGGAAATGTTCCCACACTGCTCAGGGAAGGGGGATGTTTTTCCCATTTCACCCCCATCCTCACTGCTCTAAAATTCTTTTGAAAAATCAACCTAAAAACATCTCCGGGTAAAAACTGATCTTCTCCTCACACTCTGTTACAACTTATAAATAGAATTTGTAAGCAGACAATTCGAGACCTTCTCTGCAAAGTACCACCATCCCCCTCCAAGCAACCCAAGGGGGGGGAAAAATGCCTTCTTTTATGAAAGGAACCTTTTCCAGAGCAGGCATTTAAATATTAAAAATAAATAAATCAAGTCAGACACACATTCTTATAATTTATTCATCTCACTGAAGGCTGGAAGTTTAAGGGGCCTTTGTGCTTCCAAGACAAACTGCACGACTAACACCATGTGAAGGGGTATCATGAGAGGGCTCTGCCTGCTTTTGTGAGCTAAAATTGGTGAGATTCTTCTAATAAAGTCAGGTTCAATGCACTGACAAGACTAAAAATCTGATCTGAAGGTGCAGCTTTGAAAGGGGTAGAGATTAATTGCACATATTCATCTGTTCTCACACAGACTGATGAGCCTTGCTGGGGGTCAGCAGGAAGGACCAATCAATGAAAACTAATAACTTAGGGGAATGATTAGAGTATTAATTATTAATTTGGGGAGGAAAATGTCATCCCAGACCTTTCTGCTGATTGACATGGTTAAGCAGTTACACTCTGTGAACTCATTAAATGTCCTTTTTACCCCATATAATGGACAAATCCTGTTTTTCCTCCAAGTACCAAATTCACAGAATCATTTAGGTTGGAAAAGATCTCTGAGATCATTGAGTCCAACCAAATTCTATTGGTTACAACAGCTCCTCCACAAGAGATTTCTACCAAAGGAAGTTGCTCTTGGTTCTACACCAGCTGCAGTGAAATTTGAGATAAATCCTGTATTCACCAGCAGCTGCTGAAATTCTTCCCTGTTCTCGTTTTCCCACGAATTATGCCCATCAATAAACCCATAGTGTCACTCCTAAAGCTTCTCTTCATTACCCTGCAAGGAGATACTTTACAATTATTCTCCTCACTCTCTGCAATGAGCTGCTGAAACAGAGCAATCGCTCAGAGCCTTTGATCCCTAATTAAAAGCACAAGAGGTAGAACACTTATCAACTGAACCTTCTGCCAGGAGCCCATGGGAAGCACCCTCAGCCCCATCTGTGAGCTGCCCATGTGCCACAGGGCCCACCAAAATCACCCCTGGGGATTAACAACAGCAGCACCCAGCTCTGTCTGCAGGCAGGAAAGTATTATATCTGACTTTTGGTTAAAAAACCTTTACATGTAAACCTCCAGATCCGAGGAAAGTCAAGCAAAATCCCTCTATTTATTCCACGGGCTTTGAGGGTGGTGCTTCCAGAGGCTTGGAGATGAATCATAAAAATCTTAGAATCAGAATCATAGAATGGTTTGGGTTGGAAGGGACCTCAAAGCCCATCCAGTGCCACCCCCTGCCATGGGCAGGGACACCTTCCACTAGCCCAGGTTGCTCCAAGCCCCGTCCAACCTGGCCTTGGACACTTCCAGAGATGAGGAAGGAGGACCATGGAGGCAGATGATCTGCAGGATCACATCTCTGATACTCTCGTTGACCTGAGATTGTTTTGCCACTTTATCCCCCAGTTTTCCATAGATGTAAGAAAATTCTTGGATAGTCTTCCATTTATTACTCGTTCCCACTGCAACTTCACCTGCTGCCTCAGAACCACCATCCCTTTGGGAAAAATTCTGCCTACATTATGGTTTTGCAAACTGATTTTGAGGTTTTTTTGTCTACTCAGGAAATCACTCTTCTCTCAGCATTTTAAACACTATCACAAAATATTTCAAAATCACTTATGAAAATTAGTTTTTAACTTACAAAGGTATTAAAAAGAACAGGCTCCTTCTTTCCTCCCAAGATGTTCTGACACAATCACTGAGTCTTACTTTCAGCCAAAAACAAAATCTATGCTAAAAGTATAGGAACACAGACTGATTTGGGTTGGAAGGGACCTTTAAGGTCACCCAGTGCCACCCCCTGCCATGGGCAGGGACACCTTCCACTAGCCCAGGTTGCTCCAAGCCCCATCCAACCTGTCCTTGGACACTTCCAGGGATGGGGCAGCCACAGCTTCTCTGGTCAAGAAATAAATACACATTTTCAGTACTCAGCACATTTAAGTCCAGTGAAAAATCTCAAAGTCTTTTCTGTTATTTAGTTATTCAACAATTACTGCAGAGAACCAGCAGACACTGGATGGTCATGCACGTGCTTCAAAGACAAAATGCCAACTACCTGGGGTCTAACGCAGGCCAACATGTTACAGAAAGTTTTCCCAAAGGGAAAGGAAGCCTGTCTTAGCACAAAAAAGGAATGAAAAGTAAATTAGATGATCATCATTAAAAATATTTTCCTAAGGTTAAAATAAGGGGGTTTTCAAGCTCTGGCTGCATTTCCATTTCTCAGGGTAGTTCCTATTTCACATGTGAGTGAGTCCAATTCTCAGGAAGTTTTCCTGTAAACATCACTGCTATTCATGTCAGCAGAGCCTTTGTTCAGAGCTGTAAAAACTGTTCAAACACATTGACTTTTTATGGCAATGACTTTGGGAAAGGCAACATTTGTGCCTGAGCAAAAGACGGGTAATTGAAAAGATTCTTCCCATCCCTGAATGTTTTCTGCCTATAAAATCCCAGGGGAGTTTGTGCTGCTTCTGAAGGGGAATATGAGGCCTGAAAGCTTGCAAAGTTTAGTATTTTATTTCCAGAAGGAAGCACAGATAGTTTCAGCAGTACACAGGCTATTTTTTCTGATATGAAAATGAGATTGCTGTGCTTCAGTTTGGAAGTGCAGCCCATTAGAAAACCCAGTGCCAACACACATGTGCAGATGTCTTTTTAACTTCCCTTTTGGCAGTGCAGCCATTGCAAGTTCTTCTGAAAGGCACCTTTGTTCCTAATTGGATTCTGGTGAAGAAACTTGACTCAGAGCTCTGACTGCAGTCGGGTGGGAGGGAGAAAAATGTGTGCAGCACAAATATTTGTGGGGAATTTTTCTGACTTAGTGGGCATGGCTCTGTCAGTAATTTCACTGGGGTGTTTAATAATTAGTAGTTCTGAAAAAAAAAATCAACTCTAAATAGAAATTCAAATCCTAACCTAAGGTATGTGGATGCATTCAGAATGTGAAAAATACTTTGTAGATAAATTTGCATCACAGTTTAGTGAATATTCCAAAGGAAAATTTGCAAAACACACCCAAGACCCCCAAGCTTTGCAGCAGCAGCAAGAAACAAGCCTCAGGAATCACGTCCCCTTCTCCTGCTGCACGCTGGTGTGCTGCAGAGTGCCAACTCCACTCAGCTCCCAAATAAATCACTGCTAATGAAGCATGCTGCACATCCAGACAGCAACAGGCATCTTTTAATCACCTCAGCAAAGGAAGAGCTCAGGGTGAGCCCAGAACACTCAGCACTAATGTGGGAGTTGGGAGATTTAAGGTGGTGCAGACCCTGCGGCTGCCACAGGGCAAGAGCAAACACCTGAGGGGGGTTCACTGCCTTCCTCAACACTGACAGCAATTCATGGGGCCAAAAACCTCCAAACAACTACCAAGCTTTTCAAACAGGAGCATAGAAGCATAAAAATAATCTTTAGGTTCAGAAGGGAGAGCAGAGCTTTGGGTTATGTAGAACGTGGGGCTGTTCAGCTGCTGAGAGCACAAAATCAGAGGTTCGGAAAGACCTCCAAGATTGAGTCCAACCTGTGACTGACCCCCACCTTGTCACCCAGACCAGAGCACTGACTGCCACGAACTGTTGGGGTGTTTAAGGAAAAGGGCATATGGCAAATGCAGGCAAGAACACCTACACTGGATGCATTTTGCAGGTCAAGCCTAAAAATACTTGACCCAGCAAAAGCTGAGCACATAGGTTTAATATAAACTCAAATTTCACTCATCAACACAAGAAAAAAAAATGGTAGAAAAAAAGTCACAGAAAGTTTCCTAGGGTTCAACAAAACCTCTTTTTCCTAAGGTGAAGATATTTTTTCTAATGCACACGCACAAGAAGATCTATATCCATCAAAGATGGAAGGGGATGGAGAGAATTCCAAACCCTGGGATTCTCCAGTCCTGTTGTTGCTTGTTGCAAGGTGAGGTCATCCCCCATCTGATTCAAAACTTGAGCCTCTGGGAATTGGAAGTCACTCAGACTGGTGCACTGAATTGGAGCACGGAGCCAGCTTCTATAAATGAAGGTTAAAGAAGCTGTTCAGCTCCAGTCAGGGGGAAAAACAACGAGGTTTCTTGTCATGTAACAGGCAAACAAGGGGGTTTTTTTGCTAAATCAAAGAAAATTGCTTGATCTGTGAAAGGAATTAAACAGTGCTGTTCCAGAGGGGCAGCATCCCAGGCATGGGCAGCTCCCACCTCCTGAACACCAGTCGTGGCCCAGATTCAGCAAAACCTCAGGTTTCTAACCTAGATCCAGCTCTTAATACTCTGCTGAATCCAGGTCTGTGTGCTGGGAGAGG